GTTGACTTTCATATGTTGCTAATACAATCAAAGCCTTGCAATAGAAGTTGTTGAAGTACTGCAATATTGATCTGCACCCTATGAATGCTTTATATGAGTTTTAAATTCCTTAAGGGAAGGAAAAAATTGTGCTAGTGGCAACTCTGAAGTCTCATTGTTGAGAGATATTCCGAATAAATATGAGCTTAAACATATTCCTTGTGTATGAGATTAATTTCTTATAAGAATATGATGTGAAATTTGTGATTATATTGTTCAACTTCATGTAGCATGTGAACAACATTATTTCTATGGCTTACTAACAATGAGCATTTATATATATATATATTATTTAAACTCTTGGTTGAGTCATATTGAAATACCTATAATTCCTAGTTAAAGGGTAATTGTGATCAATTGAGGATAACCAAGTTTGTTGAAATATCAACTGTTGAGCATGTATCAGGCAGAGTGCGAAGCTTCTATAATGCTCCACAAAGCAAGTCGGCAAAACTCAGTCTACAAAGGAGCTAATGATGGGCACCAAATATCAGTCTGGGTAAGAGATCAAATACATTTGAAAAAAATATTTGTAAGTGTTGCTTTGTGGGGTAATAAACTCCATATATTTTCATCAAAAGTTTCTCTATGGTATTGAGAATAATGATGAAAGAGAATGTGTCATGTTAAACATGAAAATCTCAAGGGATTATTTACGAGTAAACAAAGTACTCATCAAAGTGCATGTAAGTTTGGTCAAGAGAATCAACTTACTTGAGGGCTAACTATGAGGATTAGTCGTTGACTCATTGGAAGGACTTAAAGTCCAAGTGGTAATGAATTCGTGGTGGATCCCACTTCTGTGGTCAAACGAAACCATGAAAAGAGTTACAAAATAGTACACTAGTTGGTCATTCCGACAGTGTGTGTACCTGTGAGGTTGAGCTACAGCTCTTAATGAATTCATAACTCTTTGAGAAATGGTGGTTTTGTTGAGACAAACTTAATGAATTCACCGCATGTGAGGTTGAGCTACAGCTCTTAATGAATTCATAACTCTTTGAGAAAGGGTGGTTTTGTTGAGACAAACCTAATGAATTCACCGCATAATGACATGAGTACAAAGTGCTCGTGGTACCCATAGATACTCTGTAGCCAGTCATGGTGGTCTGCGTTGAGGTAGACTTGACAGAATTGAAGGTCTATCCTAGAATAGACCTAACAGGGGATATCTCAGGGTCAAGAGTATGACCTCACATATTTTAAAGCGACCAAAGCAAATTAAGTGCGTTAAGTTCAAACTTTGTCTATTCGATGAGTTCAAGATCAAATTCACTCCCGTTTAGAGAAGTACTTAATGTCACTATATGACAGTTCAAGTTTTATACACTGGCATGAAAATTTGTTTTGATCATTGTCAAGCAATGACAGCATCAGCCTAAGTCCCTTTAATGGTGGGGGATTGTTGGGAGCATTTAAAAGGAAAGGCTTCCTTTTGCCTATCCATGTTGTCCCACATTGGAAGTTTAGCCTCTTATACTCAATTGGGATGGTCTATGTTGAGATAGACCTAAAGAGATCCCTAACTTGAGTGGAAAAGGGCTAACCGCCTCTTATGAAAGACAATGGGGTTATCCCAAGAAGCCGAGTGGCTAAGAAACATGGTGATAACCGTGCAGTTGTGGGGGTGTCCAACACCTTCACCACATTGTGATTCACAAATTGTCGTTTGTGTTGCAAATAACATTGCCTATGTAGAAAGAAACGACTTACTACTGATTTATGTCTTTACTACTCTATAAGCCTTTAATGGTAGTCTATACTAAGATAGACTTGATAGAGTTAAAAGTCTATGCTGAGATAGACTTAATAAGACATAAAAATCTGTAATGCGGTAAGACTTGTCAGAATTAAAAATCTATGTTGTGATAGACTTTGACAGGGTAGAAGTCTATTTTTGAGACAGACGTAACATTCTTGAATACTAAGGATATTCATAAGAAGTCAAAGAGTTTGACTTTCGTAGAACCTGCTTTTTGAGTTGGTGTGTACATTCGAGTTCAAAATTTATCTAACCGGTGAGTTCAAGATTCACATCACTCCTGGGAAGAAAATTACTCAGTGTTACTACGTGTCAGTTCAAGTTCTCAAACACTGATATTAAGATCAACTCATTTGTGTTGCTCAAACTTTATCCTTTTCCTTTCCTCTTTAAATTTGTGGGGGATTGTTGGAAAATTCAAAGAGGATGTGCGCATTTTGTGCACTCCTTTTTTGTGGTCAGCATGTTTTGTGCAAAGTTGTGGACATCATTGTTTGTCTCTCTTTGCATGGCTAATATGGGAGAGCTGCTTACTATATAAATAAGCTCTTACCATATTTGGAAAACACACCTGACTTCAAAGTTATTTGCTCTATTCTTCTTCTTTTTCCCGTAGTCTAAGCAATAGTGAGGTTCGCCTACGTGATTGCTAGTGCAAGTTATCCGTAGTTGGTCTATGTAGCCTGTCGAAAGCGTGTCTGGGTTCTAACTGCACCGTTACCGGGCAAATAACGCTTTTAAGGTAGTGTTATTATAACATGGCACAGATTTCCTTTCAACCATACACCAATAGTGTCCGTGCTTCTTAAAAGGCTTCCAGATCATGCGTTGACGTTGCTATTTTCCCCAACAGCGTGGTACTGGGTTTGGGATCAGAAAGGGGATTATACTGTGAAGACATGCTACAATAGGTTGAAGGGCATGATACATGATACTCGGTCTTGGTCCCGGATATGGAATGCAGGGGTTCCACCGAAGGTAAAGCAGTTTGCTTGGCAGTTGGCTTCGTCATTTTTGCCCACGCGAGATGCCATCCAAACTAAATGTATTAACAGTACTGTGGTATGTCATATGTGTAGGGTGGAGCCTGAGAGCGCATTACATATTTTCGCCCGTTGCGATCAGGGGGCTGCTGGGGATACCGGCCGCACCAAGTACATACGGTGATGTGTTGGAATGGTTTTTCAGCTTGCTAATGATGTTGAATGGCGATGAATTATATAAGTTTTTAATGGTGTGTTGGGGGGTTTGGCAGAGTCGGAACCAGTTTGTGTGGGAAGGAGTAGCGTTTGACGTGCACGTGATGTTATGGCGAACACTAAGCTTCTGGCAAAATTAGAGGCATGCTAATGCTACTGATCAAAAAGCTACATGCGTAGCTGGTGTTCAACGGTGGGTACGGCCTCAAAATGGGAGATATAAGCTAAATACGGATGCTTCGGTGAACATTGCGACTGATTCAATGGGATTATGGTGGGTGTTGAGGGATCATGAGGGGATTTTTTGGCTGCCAAGAATTGGCGAATAAATGGGGTGTGTACAGTAAATGAGGCGGAGGCTATCACTGTGAGAGAGGCGTTGAGTTGGTTTAAGGGCACCGGAATGGGTGGCGTAGACGTGGAGATAGATTCGCAGACTGTGTTTCACTCTCTGTCTCACCATTCTTTAATTCTACTTTTGGCCTACCGATAGATGATGTTAAAGAATTGGCATCGACAATAGATGATGTTCAATTCCTTTTTGTTAAACGATCTGCGAATAGTGCCTCCCACATTGTGGCAAGGGAGGCCTGTTCAGAGACAGGTTGTGAGGAGTGGTATGATAACCCACCTTCGTTTCTTGTAAGCACTTTGATTCATGATTTAATGCATTAAGTTTTTTCCTTTTAAAAAAACTTTTTAAAAATCATAAAATTTAATTTAACCTGAACTAAAATTCTAAATCCAGATGATAAAATGAAAAGGTTACATACTAACACTTAATTACAAACAGTGAACATTTTACATCCCTTAAAAGTATTATGCAAAATTTTACAAATTTATATTTTACATTTACCAAATACAAAATACTAACACTTAATTACAAATAGTGGTCATTTTACATCTATTCAAATATTCAATGCCACAAAATCCACAAATGCTCAACCCTCTGAATTCACATAGAAAAATAAATTAATTAGAATTAAATTAATAGATCATTATCTAATGACTAATCTAGAATAATCATACAAATTTATGTGTCTTTAAAAATGTATTTAGCAATTATACCAGTGTACCAAAATGCACAGAACATGAGCAGAGGGGCTGCTGAACGCCTGAACTGCACAAGAGCTGCTTCAAAGTTCAAAGTGCAAAATTCTAAAAAAGGCATAGTTGAATAATATGCAATTGTCAAGTTTTTATTTTTATTTTTTATAATTTCATATATAAATAAACAAAACTTTGTGCTGAAGTACCTTATCCAAATTAGGCATTCTGCATTTCATCATTCATCACTCAGTAGTATCCAACACCAACTGTTAAAAGATTAAAAATGTTAACATAAGAAAACAAAAAACTGTTTACTAGACTAAAATTGAACAATCAATTAACATATGAAAATATTTATCAAAAATAGTCATTATCAAGGATTCATGGCAGTTGACAGTTTCACATTTCAACGTTTCGGTAATTTTGCAAATTGAAAGCTTCCAAATAGGCCAAAAGCATTCTTAACAAGTAGAGTATAAGTAATTAGAATTAAATTAATTAATAATTATCTAAAATGATTAGAAGAACTATAAAAATTTACCTTTGAATCTTTGAAAATAGGTAGGATTTATACAAACTACTGAAGTAACTGAACTTCAGTACACAAAATTTAAACTATAAGCTGCAAAACAGTGGCAAAGACAAAACAATTAACAATTAAAGATTGCATTTTAAAAAAAAAAACTGTAAAGACTTAAAATGAAACTAGCAAAATGTTTACAAAATTTGCCAACTCACCACCTGCAATTCTGCCAGTTTACCAATTCACCACAGCAAAATTTCAATGCTAAACTTCCCAAAAAGTAAAAAACATTCTAAAAAAAAATATGTTAATTGATTGAATAATAATTGAAGTATTGAATATTTGAATGAATATGTAGTGCTCAACATACCAATAGAACTTCCAAGTTCCAACTGTCCAAGTAACTAGCAGTCCAATAACCATAACCTCAAAAATAACAAAAAGTCAAAAACCATAACCTCAATAAATACCATAACCATTTTACTTATCAAGAGTATTTGGAGTTGAGTAATCCACAGCCAAATCTATGACATAAAAAAAATACTTGTGTTAGACAAATCACATGATACAAATAATAAAACATATTACTCTAAGTCATATCATTATATAAAATAAGTTATTACCTTGTTCTATTTTCTCAAGAAGATTGCAATCCTCCTCAATACTGACTGGTTTTGCGCAAGGTCGAATCCAGTCTTGGGCACAGATTAATGCTTTCACCATTTTTGGTGTCAAGCTACTTCGAAAGTCATCTAGTACCCTACCCCCAGTACTAAAGGTTTATTCAGATGCAACTATAGAAATTGGGACAGCTAGAACATCTCTTTCCATTTCAGCCAAGATTGGAAATCTTGGTTGATTCACCTTCCACGAACGCAAGATATCAAAGGATTGTTCATCTTCTACATCTTCACCCAAATATTTGTCTAGTTCTGTCTTTTCAATTGCAGAACCAGATTGATTTTTGAATTTTTTAAATCTATTCATTAGACCATCAATGCCTTGACAATCAGAACCAGAAACTACAACATCTGAAGTTGAAGAAATCGACCCCATATTTTCAAACCCAGATTTTGAGATATGAGATGACTCATTACAATTTCTGTATGCATTAAACAATTTGTAAGTTGCCTCTTTAATCACTTTTTCAAGCTCTTTCCCTTTAACTAAACCATGCATTTCTGTTAAGACAAATGTGAGGAATTCCAGTTTTTTAGTTGGATCAAGAATTACAGCAATGAAAATAACTTTATTCATTTGCTCAGGCTGCCCCCAATACTTTTCAAACTTTTTTATCATCCTATTTGCCATCAAACTGAGTTCAATATCATTGGAACATTTCCAATCTTGCAAGATCTTATTAATTGCACTAATTTCAGGCAGAAATGAATTGGAAGTGACATATAAACTCCCTGAAACCCTAACTATCATGTGATAGAAGAATTTTAAAAAGGTAGCCATTTTTCTCACAACATCCCAATCCTTGTCATTTGGGACTCTAAGTGGTGCAACATTCAATTCTTTTTCAAACTGAGGATCTTGCCTATCATATCTCTCAAAAGCCCTCTGAAATTTTCCTGCCACATCTAGCATCGTATAGGTGCTATTCCACCTAGTTGACACATCTAAACAAAGAGCTCTATTACATTCAATTTTTTTTCCCTCTCAGCACAATCCTTAAACTTTTTCAGCCTAGCTGGGAACTGCCTAACATACCTAACAGTAGCTCTAACAGCATCCAGATACACAGATATGTACTTTAAACCTTTATGAACTACTAACTTCGAAATGTGGGCAACACACCTCATATGTAAGTGCTCAGAATCACAAATGCTTGTTCCCCAATTCTTTAAAACAGATTTTAAGGACCTAATTGCAGTATCATTTGCACTTGCATTGTCCACAGTAACACAAAACAGTTTGTCAAAATTCCCCATTCAATTAGGCACTTCTCAATTGCTTCAACAATATCAATGCCTCTATGAGACTCAATGGGAGTAAAATTTAAGACACTTTTTTGCAATTGCCAATCTTCATTTATCTAGTGGGCTGTGAGACACATATATGATAATCTTTGATTAGATGTCCACGTGACACCCCGAAAATCTAACTCCTTAATTAGGATTAATTGAAGAATTAATCCTAATTTCCTTGACGAATTCCTTTCCGAAATCCTAAAATTTAATAGTCAAGGGACTATAAGTTGACTAGTTCCTTAGTCAACCATGAGTACCCTATGCTTTGTGCTTTGTACCTAGCCTTTTGTCTTCCTAGCCTTTTAGTAAGGGTAAACTTGTCCTTTCACACATGATTGGTGTTTAAGCATGCCCTAGCAAGACACACATTTCATTCATCATCTTCTAGCCAAATCCTAAACACTCCACCTTCTCTCTAAGAAATCTTGGCTTACTCTCCAAGCTAATAGAAGAACAATCTACCCTTGCAAAGATTCATCCCAAGATTCCACCTTTGTACCTCCCAAGCATAGGAAGGGGTAAGATCTAAAGTTATTTAGTGTTTTTAGTTAGCTTTAAGGTGTCTTTATCTAAGTTTGGTGTTTTTCTTGTGGTTTGGTTTGTGTAAGAAGGTTGTGAGAAAGAAGAGCTTCAAAGTAGGGCCTAGGAGGGTTAGAAGAAAGAAGGTTTTGGTCTTCAAAGGTAACCCATGCTATACAAAACCTATTTTCTACATGTTATTGATGTTTCTTGACTTCTATTGATGATTCTTGATGTTGTGAGTGATTTGATGCATGATATTGTGATAATGCATGTTTAGAGCTTGTATTTAGGGTTCTTGAATGCTATTCTTTGAGCTATTTTTGGGTTCAAGTCATATCTTTGTTGTGTGTGAGGTTTTGGGTGTTTTGGACTTGAACTTAACCTTGGAGATGAATTTCCCCGAAGGGAAAATTTAGTGTACAAGGATGTACCCCGCGGGCGGAACGGCGGGCAGTGGCCTACCCGTCGTCCCACCCGTAGGGAACGCAGCCTTATGGGGTTGTACCCTGCGGGTAGGGCCACGGGTGGTGGTCTACCCGTAGCCCCACCCGCGGGGAACACTTGTGATGATTGCGTGGAGTTGTTTCCCCGTGGTTTCTTCCTTTGGTATTTGATGTTTTGGCTTCCTTTTGTTAGATTGTTGAGCTTTTGGGTGTCTTCTTGATGTTTCGTAAGTCTAGAACGAGGTCTTAAGTATCCATGATAGGATTTGGTGTCTTGAGTCGTGCTTATGGTCCAATTCAACTTTGTGATTCGTTGGATTTATGTGAGTCTTTGAAGTTCGTTGGAACCATTTTGGTTTATCCGTTTGATAAGCATGCTAGTTATGTTATCTTTGATGCTAGTATGTGTTGTTTGTCCATTCCTTTTGAGGATTGGCAACTTGGGTTGCCAATCATGTTGGTATTGGATTGAAGTCCATTTTTGTTGTTGAGTATTCGTTTCATGTCTTTCATTGAAACCTTTTGATTGAATCCCTTGATGTGATCTTGTACAAATGTGGTACTTTATTGATCATTCCGTGATTAAGCTATCGTTGAGCTTATCCGTTGTTGTACACACGTTGTGTGGAATCTATGCTTTGTTGTATCTCTAGATTCCGTGTGTATTGACTCTTGTTGAGATGTTGGATTTGGATGTGATGAGATGATTGAATTGGTAAAGTGGACAGTGTGGAGACTTATGTGTGAATTGATCCGGTAGTGGGTTTAAAGCTCCGGATTGTCATTTGGATGCTTATGGCTTGTGGGCAACTTGGGAAACTTATCCCCATTGCCAGAGATAGTAACTAACTCGTTGAGCTTGGAATCTCAATAGGGGGTGTATACACTTAAAGTTCCTAGATCTGTTTCCATTGGGCCGCGGTCCTAGTCATTGCGATGACTCTATGTTATGTGATTGATGATTTGGAGTCTTCCACACTGGTCCACTATGATTCGGGTCATTGAGATGACTCTTTGATGTATGGTTCGGTTTGACTATATCCTATGTGGGCTTGTAACATGTTGTGAGTATGAACCTCACTTTATTGATTATGAGCATGTCTATGATTAACCCTACCTTGAGTATGGTAGGTAGTATCTATTGTTGAGTATGTCGTTTGTTGTTCTATTGCCTTGCTGAGTATGGTTGTCTTTGGTCTTTGTTGAGAGTGTTGATGAGCCTATTAATGTTCCCTCTCTTGGTTTTAAAATGATATATATTGTATTCCTCTGTCTCAAATGGTTTTGCTTATATCTATATATTATGATACTTAACGCGTATTGGGTTACCAGCATCTTTCGCTGATGGGTGTTATCCCTATCTCTTTACATGTTTTGAGTAGCTTTGGAGAGCGCGCTAGTGGACCGTAGTAGCCTAGTGTAGATCCTTATGCTTTTCTAGTTGTTTATGGCCTGTGAACCTAGTTAGTTTAACCGTTAGCTGCTGTGGTTTGTTTAGTAGTTTGCCTGTGAACCTATGTTTATATAGGTGTGGCATAGCACCTCCGTGTTTAGACGTTGCTTCCGTTATTTAATGTTTAATGTTTAGCTTTATGTCTCTTGTTTAAGCTTTTAAATTTTGGTAAAATCGGGGGTGTTACAGTTGGTATCCGAGCCTAGGATGTTAAGAGTTGGACTTTAAGAACCTAGATTGGAACCTAGGTTAGTGCTTTCAAGCGTAAGACCTTATGAAGTTAAGCTCAGAACCTAAGTGTTTAAGTATCTAAGTCCTAGGAACCTTAGGACGCGCGGTGAGTTTGTGAGTTCTTTTATCATTTTCTGTTGTGCTTCCTGTGCTAGGGTCCTCGTTTCCTAGGGCTATGTTTTCTGTGTCGATCCCAACTTCGGCTTCGAGGTCGGCTTGGGTGTGACTGATGACGAATACCTTTCCAGGTGCCCCGTAGTTCCCTCGACTGTTCACGTTCCCCGGTTGGACCGCGACCGTGGGCTTTGCACTTGGGGGTTGGGTACACTGGAAAGCCTTGTGTCCTTCTCCTTCGCAGTTGAAGCACCGTAGGGTGTTTCCGAAACAGTCCTTGCCCCTATGATCCTTGTTACATCTCATGCAAAGGAATTGTCTTACGTTGGCTTTGTTGTATCTCGTAGGCGGTCCTTGGTTTGGCGGGTTGGCCATTCTTGCGTTGGAGTCGTTCCGGGACCTTTTCACAGTCGGTCCCCCACTTCCGTTATTCCTTTTGCGGATTTGTTCTTGGATTTCCCGTTGTAGAAGTTGGATCCGGTAAAGGTCGGCGGAGCTGGTGTAAGCCTAGTTAAAGGTCCTGAGCTTACTTACGGTTAGAGCCTTTCGAGCTTCGAAGTTGAGGCCTGCCACAAACTTTTCTATTTTAGTCGCCTCTGTTGGCACCAACTTAGGTGCTAAACGAGCTAGTTCGAGAAATCGTTTGTGGTATTCCATGACTGTGATCATCCCCTGTTTTAGGTGGAGGAATTCTTCGTACATGGCTGCCCTTACATGTGCGGGGAAGAACCGTCCCGTAATCGCGCCTTCAAGGATTCCCAATTGAATCCCGGTTCTTGCCTACAAGCAGGTCCTTCGTGGACCCACCAAAGATCGGTCTCGTGTCCGAAATAAAATGAGGCTAATTCCACAAGGCGTCTCTCCGGGCACTCCACTACCTCAAAGATCTTGTCGAATGTTCGGATCCATTCTTCAAGGGTCATGGGATCTTCTTCCTTGAGAAGACAGGCGGGCGATGACTTGAGACTTGGCGAGCTATATCCAAGTTTCCGTTTTGGCGGCGGTGGTCAGTTGTTGTTATGGAGGATGGCGTTGCTCAGTGTCTGGACGACCTGAGTCAATTGTTGTAGGTTCTGAGTTAACGAATCGTGGGCAGAAGGCTCAGGGGTTCTTGACTGTGTCCTTGTTGGTGCCATTCCGGTGTCTATAGGATCAACACCGATCGTAACGGTAAGTTAGGGGTCCACATCCTTACCTTGATGCTATAATTATGGGGGACTCTTAAGCTAAGCACATAATAGAGTAAGGAGAAGTTAAGCAGATAATGATAGATAAACTCACAACCACACCGCGTGTCCTAAACTTCCTAAATCCTATGTATTTAAGTATCTAGAGTCCGAACTTAATGTCCTAAAGTCTTGTCTTAGGGGCGTTATCCTTGGGTCGAACTTTAGGCTCTGATACCAACTATAACACCCCTAAATTTCAAAACATTTAAAACTTATGGAATAAAGGCAAAGCTATTATTAATTCCCAAACAGAGCATATACTAAACATAACAGTCGGGGTGCTATGCCACATATGAGCTAGAGAATTCAGATGCACAGGCTAAACTATCTTGCAAAGCATAAACCACCATGAATATCCAAATGTAAATCAAGGCACGCAGGCCATCTCATCAAGGCTAGTCCTATCTAAACTAAGTCCACGAATTCGACTAGCGCGCTCCGAAGCTACTCAATTGGTCCTGAAAACATTCGGTGTAACAACTGTTAACAAATAATGCTGGTAACCCACTCCAACGCGTTAAGTACAATATAGGTAGATATAAGAAAACATTTTGAAACTGGAATACATATAAACTTACGAGACACTAATTTAAATTCAAGATCAAGACTCGAGACACAACAACAAACTCAACAGTATAGAATAATCATAAAGACTAGCATGCGTCCTAAGAACATGTTGCAA